ATCAGTATTCAATATTCAGTAATCTTAAACCAGGATCATGTTTTTGCAACTCCTAACAGCCCTGCTAGCCCTCCATTGCACCATCCCCACTATAATGGCATCAGAGAGATCCTTAACAAAGGCACTACAGTTCGGTACCACTCTTGGTGACTACGTAGAGTTTTCACCTGATATGAGCCAGGTCAAAGACTCCCTAACGGTGTGTTCATGGGTAAAGAAGCAGCTGACTGGTGGCATCAGATCCTGGTTTTACTACAAAACGTCCACATACAGATACGAGATCCTCATATCAGATGGTGGAGGCTACAACTGGATTCACAACAGCAACAACAACCTGGTAAGCGCTGTTACAGTACCCCTCAACACGTGGACTCATCAATGTCAAAGTTGGTCAACAGGCACTGGGACAATGAAGACCTATTATAATGGTACTCTGATAGGGTCTCAAAGGGTTTCCTCAGCTCCATTAGAAGAGGGGGGTGTTATCACTCTGGGACACGATGCTGGCAGCCAAAATGAAAGAGAAGTATTCGGTGGGCAGCTGATGAAACTGGATATCTTAGGAAAAGTGCTCAGTTCAGAAGAAATTGCAGATATATACAACGCTGGGAGATGTTCCGATGTAGAAAAGAAACACCAGGTAGTCAGGTTCGTCACCTGGGAGAGCATCCTGAGTCAGGACAGAACTGGTAATGTCACAGAAGTGGATTCTGGGTGTCCTGCTGAAGAAGAAGAAGAGGAGGACGAAAAGGATGATTGTGAGTGTACTCACAGCATTTGGGACATACTCTATGATCAGACCTACTTTAACCAAACACTGACAACAGAGAAACTGACCGAGCTAAAATCCACTTGGAACATGTTGGGTAAGTAAGCAAGTTGGGTTTGCTATTATCTTAATATGTACAGTGATTTTTAATAATCTTTAGAAGGAAACTATTTCATTAACAAACGATTAAATTCTGAAAGGGGTAGGGGTGATGGACACTTGTTTTGACACGTGACAGCGGTAACCAGTTTTGTCTGGATATGCTGGAACCTGATTGATTTATTTATCTGTCACGTGTCAAAACAAATATTATTCGCCTCTTCACCTGTATAAAAATCCATAACACGTTAAACAATTCTCATTTTTAAATAAACATTAAATTTGTTTGCAGAACATTTCGTCGGGACATTGATCACGGAGAACATCGTATCTCATTACAAAGTCTTCCATCCTATGCCTGCAGAGAACGAAGTAAAAGAATATGGAGATTGTGAGTGTACTCACAGTATTTGGGACATGCTAAATGATCAGACCTACTTCAACCAAACACTCACCGAAGAAAAACTGACCGAGCTAAATGCTAACTGGAACATGTTGGGTAAGTAAATAATTACCATGAGTAGGTTTAGTTCATGTTTTATTATTTTTAGAGATTTTCCTTCGTTCTGGTTAGACTACGACTGGATACTGGTGCAGGGGAGGTTAACTGTATTTATTGTGACACGTGAAAGAGAGTCTTGTTTGATTGGCCAATTATACTGGAAGCTGACTGGTTAATTACTGGCACGTGTCATAGTAAATAGAGTCCAAATCCGGTCTTCCTAACCGTGTCTAGATATATTGAACGCGAACAATTTTTCTTGTACCCTAGAAATAAACTAATAATAAGTTTACTTGCAGATTATTTCGTCGGCACACCGATCACGGAGAATATCATAGCTTATTTTAAGGCGTACCATCCTATGCCGGCAGAGGAAGATGACAGCAGCTAGAGGAAAGAAATCAAGGGGGAAGATTAACTCATCGGTACGTTGATTTTAATAACAATATAATAACTTCTTATTAACTAGGTTTGCTGAATGAACATTTAAGATGATTAATTACTATTAATATTATTGGTTATCCCTCTCGTCTCCGGCCGGTAAAATGTATGATATTATATTACTAATCAACTTCTCTTCAGGTCCTACTACAAAGTACACTGTTCTCCCTGCAGCTGCCTGGTTACTAATTTGGAGACGAGGATCTACTTTCTCTGATACGTATCATGGGATTAGTCTGATGTCAGAGCTTTTTGAACTCGTTTCCATAAAAGTAACCCGTTTTAGAAAATATTAAAAATTTATTCTAGATAATAAACTGTTTAATTTGTTCAAAAGTTCAAATACAAGCTTTCATTGCTTTTAATTCCGATCTGAATTGTGTTATATCTATATTATAGAATACCGATTCTAAAACAATATTGTTGTTACCGGTTGCGTGGAAAATAGATACTCGAAGTGAAAGTCAGTATGATAGTAAAATCGGAATAATGAAATCGGAATAATGAACAAAGTATGATCGCAGAACCTTGACCCTTACGCTAAACCTACATGTTTCGGAGAGGTCTAAGTTTATATTCAAAACAAGGTAGTTAACCGTTGTTATCCTCTCTACGGACTAGTGGTTTTAACCGTCCTCTTTACGGACTAGTTGTTTAACCCGTAAATATCAAGAGATATTTGGTCCTCGTGGAAGGTTCTAGAAGAATCAGGTGAGAGCTAGGAACTAGCTCGATTCAATCTATAACAATATTAATGGGAGGCATATCTCTGGTAAATTATGTGGTTTTCAACATAAAACTGGTCCTCTTATAGTAGTCCATCGGGACAACTGTGTACAACTACAAGACATTAGAGAGAGTTCTGATATTATTGTGAAATAAGGATTACAAAATTAATTGAGTGGTATGACCCTGCCTTAATGGTAGAGCTATCTAGAATGCTAGCGCCGTATTAAACTGAGATATTGTGAAGTGCTTAGAGCAGCTCTCTGTATATAATAATACTAGCCGGGTTACATTAGTATAATATTACTATGTTCTCGACTTTACTGAGTATTTTTACAGCATTACTGTTCTGTTATCTATATTCGGTTTTTAACAAATATTCCGGGCGGGGTTTCAGTACAAGTAATTGATGGTTAAAGTTGTAATTTGAATATTTATCACGGCTCGATGTTCCGGTTTGTACAGCCTGTTTAAATTCGATTCCATAAAGAAAGAGTGGACCTAAAGATAAACATAATAATAAATTGAAGTTTAATAACACTGCTGTTAAGATAAAACATATATACTCAGCAGTGCTTAATCTTAACGTCCCAGAAATTTACTTGTATATTAGTTTAAAATGTATTCTTGTGTAAATTTTTATTGATCCCGTTTGATGCGACAAGGAAAAAATGCTCTCATCAGGAAAGGAATTACTCAACGTTTTAATGTTAGAACATCGTTATCATGATCTCAAATTTTTTGTTATAATATAATTACAGTAGTTTTGAAAGTATTAAAACACTGCTGCTCACTAAACTTAGAATTAGGAGCCACTTCAGATAAGATAGTGCGCTCACTAGACTTAGAATTAGTAGCCACTTCAGATAAGATAGTACTCTCACTAAACTTAGGGTTAGGAGCCACTTCGGATAAGATAGTACGCTCACTAAACTTAGAATTAGGAGCCACTTCAGATAAGATAGTACGCTCACTAAACTTAGAATTAGGAGCCACTTCAGATAAGATAGTACTCTCACTAAACTTAGAATAAGTAGTAAGATTTTGAATGCAATAATTTTCTTTATATCCAGCCAGTGAAGATTGATCAAGTCATCCTCAAGATGGTCGTGTTAATCTAGTTGAACAACACATTTACGGTCCTGGAGTTGAAAAGCATTACTGGAATTGAAATTTCATCCAGCAGGATTAACTCCATTGAACTGGAGAGTAAACCGCGGTCAGATGGCTGATAAAGAAACACGTGAACTTTAACCACCTGCACTGTCGGTTATTGATTGGAATAAATCTTAAATTTCCCTTGAAGAGGTAGTCAGACTAAATATATAGTGAAAACATTTAAAGATTTATTAGTTTATGAGCCTGTGTTTATTCCTGGACCTCATAACACCAACTGGTGAGTAAAGAAGTGAAGCATGCACGTGCAGCTCCACTGTACCTTTTGTTAAACTAACTTTCTCGGAACCGAATCCTGCCCTTTCCTTAGAAGTCGAACAAAAATTGAGAGCGTTTTTATTAGTGAACATGCGCTCTAAGAATTTGCACGTGTTGGAGCATTATTCTAGAAACAAAGAGCCTTTATTAATAAATGCACTGGAGGTTTGGAAGAGCCTGATAAGTTGACATGGTGTGGGGAGGCCCTGTGAAGGAAGCTGCAACGGTAAGACTGCTGTAGGCAGAAAGCCCTGTGGAGGCGGGATTGAGGAGAGTTACGAATATTATATAAGCAGTGGTCTGAGGTCCAGATATCAGAATGTAGCCTTAGTTTTATTGGACTGTATCGTTATGACGTGTCAACTGTCAACCGGCAAGTTCCCATGCAACAACAATCATTATGGTGATTGAAGGCAGGGTCATTTTGTAATTGCTTGGTTTGTTACCTTACAGTTGTTATAACCCCAATTTAACGTTATATTATAACTTAGGTCTGGTGGCAGTTATACTTTTCTGTAACGTTCGGCATTTTGTTCAATTTTAATTACGGTTTAACTGTATTCGGTTAAGAAAATTAGCTAATAGCTACCATTAAACTAACAATGATTAGTCCTCTTCTTGTTAATTTAAACAGACAAGTAATAATTAAACAATTAGGGTTTAAGTTAAAATAACAAACGTATTTATAAATGATCAGTATTCACTATTCAGTAATCTTAAACCAGGATCATGTTTTTGCAACTCCTAACAGCCCTGCTAGCCCTCCATTGCACCATCCCCACTATATTGGCATCAGAGGGATCCTTAACAAAGGCACTACAGTTCGGTACCACTCTTGGTGACTACGTAGAGTTTTCACCTGATATGAGCCAGGTCAAAGACTCCCTAACGGTGTGTTCATGGGTAAAGAAGCAGCTGACTGACCTCTATAGATCCTGGTTTCACTACGAAACGTCCTCACACAGGGCAGAGATCCTAATATCAGATGCTGGTAACTACAACTACATTCAAAGCATCAACAACGACCTGAGAAATGCTGTTACAGTACCCCTCAACACGTGGACTCATCAATGTCAAAGTTGGTCAACAAGCACTGGGACAATGAAGACCTACTATAATGGTACTCTGATAGGGTCTAAAAGTGTTTCCTCAGCTCCATTAGAAGAGGGGGGTGTTATCACTCTGGGACGCATTGGTAGCAACAACTGGACACCTCCAATATTCGGTGGGCAGCTGATGAAACTAGATATATTTGGAAAAGTGCTCAGTTCAGAAGAAATTGCAGATATATACAACGCTGGGAGATGTTCCGATGTAGAAAAGAAGCACCAGGAAGTCAGGTTCGTCACCTGGGAGAGCATCCTGAGTCAGGACAGAACTGGTAATGTCACTGAAGTGGATTCTGGGTGTCCTGCTGAAGAAGAAGAAGAGGAGGACGAAAAGGATGATTGTGAGTGTACTCACAGCATTTGGGACATACTCTATGATCAGACCTACTTTAACCAAACACTGACAACAGAGAAACTGACCGAGCTAAAATCCACTTGGAACATGTTGGGTAAGTAAGCAAGTTGGGTTTGCTATCTTACTATATATAAAGCGAGACGATATATATATATATATATATCTGTGCCATTTTACTGACACCACGGCATCAACTTTAACGCGACTTTCCGCAAAAACCGTAAAAGATATACAACTGGAACTTTTTTGGCTGGGTCAAATGCTTTAATGGCCTTCAAATCGGCATGAAAAAATAAAAAATTGGCCAAGGAATAATAATTTTAGAGCCGAAAATTTGGGCCCCCAAGTGGTGTCAAAAACGCCGATTAAATAGGTAATAATTATTTTAGTATTTTGAGTCTTGACACCGTTTAGGGTTATATTATACGGGTTCCTGCTAGTTATCTTAATATATACAGTGATTTTTAATAATCTTTAGAAGGAAACTATTTCATTAACAAACGTTTAAATTCTGAAAGGGGTAAGGGTGATTGACACTTGTTTTGACACGTGACAGTGGTAACCAGTTTTGTCTGGATATGCTGGAACCTGATTGATTTATTTATCTGTAACGTGTCAAAACAAATGTTATTTGCCTCTTCACCTGTATAAAAATCCATAACACGTTAAACAATTCTCTTTTTTTAATAAACTATAATATTAAATTTGTTTGCAGAACATTTCGTCGGGACACTGATCACGGAGAACATCGTATCTCATTACAAAGTCTTCCATCCTATGCCTGCAGAGAACGAAGTAAAAGAATATGGAGATTGTGAGTGTACTCACAGTATTTGGGACATGCTAAATGATCATACCTACTTCAACCAAACACTCACCGAAGAAAAACTGACCGAGCTAAATGCTAACTGGAACATGTTGGGTAAGTAAATAATTACCATGAGTAAGTTTAGTTCATGTCTTATTATTTTTAGAGATTTTCCTTCGTTCTGGTTAGACTACGACTGGATACTGGTGCAGGGGAGGTTAACTGTATTTATTGTGACACGTGACAGAGAGTCTTGTTTGATTGGCCAATTATACTGGAAGCTGATTGGTTAATTACTGGCACGTGTTATAGTAAATAGAGTTCAAATCCGGTCTTCCTAACCGTGTCTAGATATATTGAACGCGAACAATTTTTCTTGTACCCTAGAAATAAACTAATAATAAGTTTACTTGCAGATTATTTCGTCGGCACACCGATCACGGAGAATATCATAGCTTATTTTAAGGCGTACCATCCTATGCCGGCAGAGGAAGATGACAGCAGCTAGAGGAAAAAAATCAAGGGGGAGGATTAACTCATCGGTACGTTGATTTTAATAACAATATAATAACTTCTTATTAACTAGGTTTGCTGAATGAACATTTTAAGATTATTATTACTATTAATATTATTGGTTATCCCTCCGTCTCCGGCCGGTAAAATGTATGATATTATATTACTAATCAACTTCTCTTCAGGTCCTACTAAAAAGTACACTGTTCTCCCTGCTGCTGCCTGGTTACTAATTTGCAGACGAGGATCTAATTTCTCTGATACGTATCATGGGATTAGTCTGATGTCAGAGCTTTTTGAACTCGTTTCCATAAAAGTAACCCGTTTTAGAAAATATTAAAAATTTATTCTAGATAATAAACTGTTTAATTTGTTCAAAAGTTCAAATACAAGCTTTCATTGCTTTTAATTCCGATCTGAATTGTGTTATATCTATATTATAGAATACCGATTCTAAAACAATGTTAATGGGAGGCATACCTCTGGTAAATTATGTGGTTTTCAACATAAAACTGGTTATAGTAGTCCATCTGTACAACTGTGTACAAAACATTAGAGAGAGAGTTCTGATATTATTGTGAAATAAGGATTACAAAATTAATTGAGTGGTATGACCCTGCCTTAATGGTAGAGCTATCTAGAATGCTAGCGCCGTATTAAACTGAGATATTGTGAAGTGCTTAGAGCAGCTCTCTGTATATAATATTACTATGTTCTCGACTTTACTGAGTATTTCTATAGCATTACTGTTCTGTTATCTATATTCGGTTTTTAACAAAGATTCCGGGCGGGGTTTCAGTACAAGTAATTGATGGTTAAAGTTTTAATTTGAATATTTATCACGGCTCGATGTTCCGGTTTGTACAGCCTGTTCAAATTCGATTCCATAAAGAAAGATTGTATATTAGTTTAAAATGTATTCTTGTGTAAATTTGTATTGATCCCGTTTGATGCGACAAGGAAAAAATGCTCTCATCAGGAAAGGAATTACTCAACGTTTTAATGTTAGAACATCGTTATCATGATCTCAAATTATTTGTTATAATATAATTATAGTAGTTTTGAAAGTATTAAAACACTGCTATATAACAAATAATTATTTAAAAGGACTAGACACTTATGCTTGAAAAGATTTTGGAAATACTAATGCATAGTATGAGACCAAATAATTAAAGATTGGACAAAAAATAATGATTACAATAGGTTATCGATAAATTTTCTGAAGTTCGTGAATGGACAGTTTTTAAACTGTCCTTTTTATTTAAAAGAACTTTTGATAATAAAAAGTGAAGAGACTTAAAAGATTCCTGAGATTGAGTTCCAGAGATTAGAAGCCACTACAGATAAGATAGTACTAAACTTAGAATTAGGAGCCATTTCGGATAAGATAGTACGCTCACTAAATTTAGAATAAGGAGCCACTAAAGATAAGATAGTATAGTACGCTCACTAAACTTAGAATTAGGAGCCACTTCAGATAAAATGGTACGCTCACTAAACTTAGAATTAGGAGCCACTTCAGATAAGATAGTACTAAACTTAGAATTAGGAGCCACTTCAGATAAGATAGTACGCTCACTAAACTTAGAATTAGGAGCCACTTCAGATAAGATAGTACGCTCACTAAACTTAGAATTAGGAGCCACTTCAGATAAAATAGTACGCTCACTAAACTTAGAATTAGGAGCCACTTCAGATAAGATAGTACGCTCACTAAAATTAGAAGTAGGAGCCACTTCAGATAAGATAGTACTCTCACTAAACTTAGAATTAGGAGCCACTTCAGATAAGATAGTACGCTCACTAAACTTAGAATTAGGAGCCACTTCAGATAAGATAGTACGCTCACTAAACTTAGAATTAGGAGCCACTTCAGATAAGATAGTACGCTCACTAGACTTAGAATAAGTAGTAAGATTTTGAATGCAATAATTTTCTTTATATCCAGCCAGTGAAGATTGATCAAGTCATCCTCAAGATGGTCGTGTTAATTTAGTTGAACAACACATTTACGGTCCTGGAGTTGAAAAGCATTACTGGAATTGAAATTTCATCCAGCAGGATTAACTCCATTGAACTGGAGAGTAAACCGCGGTCAGATGGCTGATAAAGAAACACGTGAACTTTAACCACCTGCACTGTCGGTTATTGTTTGGAATAAATCTTAAATTTCCTTGAAGAGGTAGTCAGACTAAATATATGGTAGAAACATTTAAGGATTTATTAGTTCATGAGCCTGTGTTTGTTCCTGGACCTCATAACACCAACTGGTGAGTAATTAAGTGAAGCAGGCACGTGCAGCTCCACTGTACCTTTTGTTAAACTAACTTTCTCGGAACCGAATCCTGCCCTTCCCTAGAAGTCGAACAAAAATTGAGAGCGTTTTTATTAGTGAACATGCGCTCTAAGAATTTGCACGTGTTGGAGCATTATTCTAGAAACAAAGAGCCTTATCAATGAATGCACTGGAGGTTTGAAAGAGCCTGATAAGTTGACATGGTGTGGGGAGGCCCTGTGAAGGAAGCTGCAACGGTAAGACTGCTGTAGGCAGAAAGCCCTGTGGAGGCGGAATTGAGGAGAGTTACGAATATTATATAAGCAGTGGTCTGAGGTCCAGATATCAGAATGTAGCCTTAGTTTTATTGGGCACTATCCGTCGCGGAGTAGAGTCCGCGGCGGAGCCGCCGGACTCCGAGCGGACTCCGGCGGTGCTCCGCCAAAATGTATTTACACTGGACTCGAGTACATTTTGGCGGACTCCGAGCGGACTCCGAGCGGACTCCGAGCGGACTTTAAAGTCCGCCGCGGACTCCGAGCGGCTCCGCGGCGGCTCGGCGGAGTGTCCGCCGCGGACTAAGCCACCAGGCGGACTCCGGTCCGCCGCGGACTCCGGCGGAGTGCTTGGCGGACTCCGCCGGACCTCTCCGCCAGACTTGAATCCGGCGGAGTCCGGCGGAGCTTGGACTCCGCTCGGAGTCCGCCGGACTCCAACAGAGTCCACTGACTTCCGACTTCCGACTTCCGACCCTCGGCTAAATTTGTCACGTGACATTCAACATAGCCAATAGCATTTTGCGATATTGTGGTCAGATGAAAAGGTCGCTAGTGATAAACCTTAACCATTACCCTCACAATGTCAATAGTGTACAACTCTAGTCCTAACTTTGACCCTATAATGTATAAACGTTGACCCTAACCCTCCACCAAACCGCCAGCAGCGAAATATCAATGTCATTGACTGGTCACGTGACCAAAACAATTTTTGTCATATTATCTCATATAGGGAAGCGTTTTTAGTTTTACCCTACACGTTGCATGTGGCGTCATTCGGCCGGATCCCAGCAAGCAAAAATACGTCGACCATCACAGGACGACGCCAGCACTCTCTACGCTCGTCGAGCTCCGATCGTCCTGTGACGAAGTAAGGACGAAGCCTGAGGTCCTCAGGTAACATCGACCACCGATTGAAATTTCAGAGATTTTTTGACATAAAGGTCAAATGTAAAACTAAAATCTTAATGTTAATTGATTGACGACGCGACGTCAATTTTTGAGCACAGCGCGAGCGCATGCGGAAAAGGACCGCGTAGCTAGTCAAGATGTTGATAAATATTTGGCTTGTGGCGCGATGTTTTGCTCTAAGTCTAACTATAGCCCTCTCGCTTGCAGTTACTGGGCCGCGCTCAGCCTGTCATTCCGCCTAATCTCTATTAACAACATTGAAGCCTGGGGTCCTCAGGTAAGCTTGCAGTAGCGCGCGACCGCCGGAGGCGGAAATGACCTGGTTAGCTAGGTAAACGTTACTGGGCCGCGCTCAGCCTGTCATTCCGCCTAATCTCTATTCGGTTGTTTACCAACATTGTTTACCAACATTAAAGCCTGGGGTCCTCAGGTAAGGTAAACGCGATGTGCCTTGTAGGATGAAATCCTACTAGCTGACGCCACTCGCAGCTGTGCTGCTCGCTGTACGTCAGCGATCGAAATTTATACGCGTATCACCCGTTAAGATGTGCCACCCGACGTGCCACACAATTTTTCTCGTTGCTCGTCGCACGTCGACGAACAACGAAGCTCGTTGCGACGCGCAATGAGCTGCCAGGCTAGGACATCGTCCTGGTCCAACAAATTTTGGCGAGCGATTTTCTCCAAAAATTTAATGAGGGCGCCGACTTCCACTTTGGCTAGGTTTCTTTTTACCCAGCGCGCGTTCCTTAATGGGATGAGGTAAAATTAGGTAAAAAGAATCCACTGACTTGGCCAGAGTGCTTTCATAAAACTCTATTACTAGCTTGGCGTTGTAGGATTATATACTTTAATTTCGGATCGAGTGAAGCGAGTGATACACATTACTTTGATTAAACTCATGCTGATCACAATACAGTACAGGGAAATGGGTAACACGGCTTGCAGTCGCAGCTGCGGCTCCTCGCTGGCGGTAATATTTCAATGAACAAGAATTAAGAAAAAGATAATTTAAGAAAAAGAGAATTTTATTTGCCACAGAATCACAATGCTGGCAAGCATTACCGTCGCCCTTATATTCACAACACTATTTACCCCCTATACGATTATATCCCCTTTATTGTTTTCCAGGCATTAAGACTCATCGAAAGTAGTTCAGCAGGTACATTTAAGTTCAAAACATTCTAATTCAATGTTGAAGATGACAGGAATAAAAAATAGTTATATGGAGGTTTTTAAGAAATTTGCGCAAAATACGCGCCAGCATGTTATACGAAATTAGGTAAAAAACCCAAAATCGCCATATTCAGGTGCCTTAAAAACCATGTTAAAATTGAGTTAGAGATCTGAAACTTTGCAGGGCGTCTAGACCTTGTCCAAATCGACTGTAAAAAAAATTTCATGTTTCAGGAGTATCGGGAAGTGGGTTTTCTGGAACCCCTGTTTTACAACAGATTGTCGTGAAGATATATCACAATGCTGGCAAGCATAACCGTTGCCCTTATATTCACAACACTATGTACCCCCTATACTATTATATCCCCTTTATTGTTTTCCAGGCATTAAGACTCATCGAAAGTAGTTCAGCAGGTATATTTAAGTTCAAAACATTCTAATTCAATGTTAAAGATGACAGGAATAAGAAATAGTTATGTGGAGGTTTTTAAGAAATTTGCGCAAAATACGCGCCAGCATGTTATACGAAATTAGGTAAAAAACCCAAAATCGCCATATTCAGGTGCCTTAAAAACCATGTTAAAATCGAGTTAGAGATCTGAAACTTTGCAGAGCGTCTAGACCTTGTCCAAATCGACTGTAAAAAAAATTTCATGTTGCAGGAGTATCGGGAAGTGGGTTTTCTGGAACCCCT